AAAGCCTCCCCCAAGATCTTAGATCAACCTGGTAGACTCAGTCCAGGCTGATCCAGTCCCCTCCTCCCAGGCCTAGCCAAGCATCCCTGCATAAGCCCCAGGTTTCAAAGTTGCCAACTCATGCAATGAGCACAGGAGCCGGTCCCACTGTCTGGATGCCTCCCAAACAAATCAAGCCAATCAACTGTCTCGCCCATTCAGAGGGCCTGATCCAGTTGGGGGCCCCTCAGCCATTGGTTCATAGTTCATGTGTTTCCATTCATTTGGCTATTTGTCACTGTGCTTTATCCAACCTTGGTCTCAACAATTCTTGCTCATATAAACCCTCCTCTTTCTCGCTAGTTGTACTCCTGGAGCTCCACCCGGGGCCTAGCCATGGATCTCTGCATCCAGTCATTGGACGGGGTTTCTAGCAGGACAATGAGGGTGTTGGCCATCCCATCACAAGAGTAGGTCATAATAAAGGCAGATTATAGCAAGCCAACAGCCAACATCAAATTAAATGGAGAGAAACTCAAAGCAATTCCACTAAAATCAGGAACAAGGCAAGGCTGTCTGCTCTCCCCATACTTATTCAATATAGTACTTGAAGTTCTAGCCAGAGCAATAAGACAACATAAGGAGATTAAGGGGATACAAATTGGAAAGGAAGAAGTCAAGCTTTCCCTATTTGCAGATGACATGATAGTATACTTGAGTGACCCCAAAGCCCAAAGATTCAACCAAGGAACTGATACAGCTTATAAACACCTTCAGCAACATAGCAGGATACAAGATCAATGCAAAAAAATCAGTAGCCCTCCTATATACAATTGACAGGCTGAGAAAGAAATCACAGATACATCACCCTTTACAATAGCCACAAATGACATAAAATACCTTGGGGTAACACTAACCAAGCAAGTGAAGGACCTATATGACAAGAACTTTAAGTTTTTTCTTGAAAAAAAATTGAAGAAGTCAGAAAATGGAAAGATCTCCCATGCTCATGGATAGGCAGGACTAACATAGTAAAAATGTCAATTTTACCAAAAGCAATCTACAGATTCGATGCAATCCCCATCAAAATACCAACACAATTCTTCACAGACCTAGAAAGAATAATATTCAACTTCATATGGAGAAACAAAACACCCAGGATAGCCAAAAGAATCCTGTACAATAAAACAACCTTTAGAGGCATCACTATCCCTGACTTCAAGCTCTACTATAGAGCTACAGTAATAAAAACAGCTTGATACTGGCATAAAAACTGACATGTGGACCAATGGAATTGAACTGAAGACCCTGACATTAATCCGCACACCTATGAACATATAATTTTTGACAAAGAGGTCTATTATTTTTTTTTCGAGACAGGGTTTCTCTGTGTAGCTTTGCGCCTTTTCCTGGAACTCACTTGGTAACCCCGGCTGGCCTCAAATTCACAGATATCCACCTGCCTCTGCCTCCCAAGTGCTGGGATTAAAGGCGTGTACCACCACCGCCTGGCTCTAATGTTCTTAATCAGTAGGGAAATGCTAAAGCTCTGTCCTCACTCAGACACTCCTGCTTTAACAGCTTTCTTATACAACAAATCAGAGCAACAAAACTGAGTGAAAGTTTTCAAGGGAAACAAAGGCCAATATTAACTTTAAAACTAAATAAATGCTAGCTTAAATTTTTATGCTTACTTAAGATGCACATCAGTTCTGATTGAAAGGATGACCCCAGGCTGGACTATTAGAAATATTGGAGAGGGTGCCTGAACTGAACTGGCTTACCCCAGTAACCAGATCTGTGAATACCCTAACTGTCATCACAGAGCTTTTCTCCAGTGACTGATGGAAGCAGGTGCAGAAATCCACAGCCAAACACCAGGCAGAGCTCCAGGAATCCAGGTAAAGAGAGGAAAGAGGGATTCTATGAGCAAGTGCATCAAGATCATGATGGGAAAACCTGCAGAGACGATCAAACCAAACTAGTGGGAACTTATGAAAGTTTAATCAACAACTGTGGAGCCTGCATGGACCTGGAGTAGACCCTCGGCTTGACAAGACAGTTGTGTAGTCTGATCTACCCGGGGCCCCTTAGCTGTAGGATCAGAATCCATCCCTGGTGCATGAGCAGGATTTTTGAAGTGCACTGTCTATGATGGGACACCTCTTGCAGGCTTGAGGCAGGGGGAGGGACTTGGACTTGCCTCTTCTGTGTGTGCCCTCCAATGGGAAGACTTCTCTTCTTGTGGAGAGGACTGGGGGTGGGTTAGGAGGGGGAGGCTCAGGGAGCAGGAGGAGAAAAGAGGGGGATTTTTGATTGGTGTGTAAAATGAATGGAAAATTTTTCTTAATTACAAAAAAATAGCGAATTGATGTGGTCATTCTTCAGATAGTAATTTTCAGATAGTAATTTTCTAAATTTATATTCACTATTGTATATGATCACAAGTTATGGTTTTATATTATTT